CACCCAGTGGACACCCAGCAACCTCCAAGTGAGGGTCCCCATTGGCGTCCACTGCAGCTTGCTGGTTGGAGCGGGAATTAGCCCAGATGGTCCTGTCCTGCCTTGTTTAACAGCAGAGGGTGGAAGTGGGGCCATGGCCCCAGGTGCTGGGAGGCACCACTGTCATTGTGAGCGACCCATATGGCAGGGTTTCCAGAGGGGCCCACGGCACTTGGGGTTACCCTCAGACTACCTGCCCCACTTTGCACCTGACTCAGAAGGAAGGGAGAGAGCCGATGAGTTATCACGTGACCAGCTTCCTTCCGATAGTTTCTTGGAGGTGACAGGGCTGGATGCACTTTGAGTAATTCAAATAAAGTGTATTTGCTTCACAGTAAGCACCTGAAAACTTCTGTTTAAGAAGATAGAAACCTTACTTTGATCTAAAACAGATCTCCATTTCAAGTAGCCCCTGCGCCACAACAAAACAGTATGTGCCAAAGGCCACTTTGGTGGATGTTGAAGACGCACAAGTAGTTTTTAAGTACATTTTAGAACGCTTTAGAAAATTCTCTTTTCTTAAACCTTCTTGTAAAAATTTTAATTTTGTTGTGCTTCATTAAAATGTTATTGGGCCTCCAAGCTGGGAGTCTGTGACAGGTGGGATGGTCAGACATGCCAGTGTGCAGGACACTCCAAAATCAGAGACTCCTGCAGCCCTTGGAGAGGTTCCCTGGCCAGTGCCTGTGTTTCCTCCTGGAAACCGGATGGGGGGGACACGGTGGTGAGCAGGCAGCTTACCTACAGGCACCCCATGTGGAAAGGTCTGCAGAAAGGGTCAAGGCTGTTGCCCCCAGGACAGAGGAGAATTGATGGGCAAGAGCCACAGCCAGCTTGGGCAGCTGCATTAACCCAGATCACTGAGGGTGGGCCCTCTGGTGCCAGCAGATGTGCTTTTGACTGCTCTTGGTCGCCAGCTGTTAGGCAGCATGGGCTGAGTGCCATTAGAATACACCTCAGGGGAGGGACTTCCCTGGCGATCCAGTGGTTTGGACTCTGTGCTTTCACTGCTGAGGGCCCGGGGTCAATCCCTGGTCAGGGAACTAAGATCCCACAAGCTGCGAGGTACAGCCAGTCAGTCAGTCAGTAAACAAACAGCCACGGAGCAACTAAGCCCATGCGCCACAACTACTGATCCTGCGCTCTAGAGCCCGTGAGCCACAGCTATTGAGCCCACGTGCCACACTACTGAAGCCCGCGCGCCTGGACCCCGTGCCCCGCAACGAAGAGTAGCCCCCGCTCGCCGCAACTAGAGAAAGCCCGCGCACAGCAACAGATCCAACGAGCCACAGCTATTGAGCCCACGTGCCACACTACTGAAGCCCGCGCGCCTGGAGCCCGTGCACCGCAACGAAGAGTAGCCCCCGCTCGCCGCAACTAGAGAAAGCCCGCGCACAGCAACAAAGATCCAACGCAGCCAAAAATAAATAAATAAAATAAATAAGTAAATGTATAAAACAAACAAACGAACGTACCTCAGGGGGGGTCCCTGGCGGTCCAGTGATTAGGACTCTCTGCTTTCACTGCCGAGGGTGCGGGTTCCATCTTTGGTCAGGTAACTAAGATCCCATAAGCCGTGGAGCGTGACGCAAGAAAATGGGAAAGAAGAAAAAAGAATACACCTCTGTCATTGACTAAGTGTCATTGACTCCTTTTTGTTCCAAAGTCTTCCAAATGGGGACTCTTGTCCCCTCTGCCGGCACAGGGGCTGGTGGAATTTAGACAGGTCTTGGCTTGGTGTCTTTTTTGCTAATAGCGATAGACAGGTGGCCCATCACCTACATGTGTGTGTGCGCGCGTGTGTGCATACGCACGCACGTGCGCACAGTGGTATGAGTGAATTGCTCTGTTGTTGACGAGAAGGACCTGGCCTGATCCTCCTACTGGAGGGAGGAGACACCACAAGAACCCATGTGGCCCGGACCCTGGTTCTATGATGAAAGTCAGGCGGCATGGGGACACACACTTGAAGCCAGGCCTCCTGGCATAGTGGAGGAAGCTTGGGATTTTAGACCTCTTGGCTAGCTTCTCTACAGTATAAAGTCTTTTTCTCAGTGCCCTTGGGGATTGAATGACTTTGTGAGAAAGGAGTCTCCCAAATAACTTGCTTGACAACTAGGCCAGTTAAACGCTTCACTAGATGGCCCACAGGGAGCGTGTGATCCAGGGGGAGGATGGCCCACCACACCATCGAGTCAGCCAGGCACCAGGGGGGCTGCCCTGATGGAGTCTCTTCTGGGAAGGTGTACCCTTCTTAGTTCCTCTCCGCTACCTAAATCCGGGCTCGCGTCATTGCTGACGTCATGGCCCCTGTCCCCCAAGCCCCTGGAACACAGAGGCTTTGCTGTGTGTGGATGACGGACACACATGGTGCTATGGTTAGCCCCGAGCTGAGTCTTGCATGGAGGTCTGGACCGAGAGACCTGGGGGCATGAGAACCAAGTCCTGCGTGCTCTTTACTACCACGGTGTCCCACGCCTCTGCTCCGGGCTTTGCACTTGCTGTTCCCTGGTCAAGAGCACCCTGACTTCCTAGCTTTCATGATCAGGTGGTGTCAGTAGAGAGCTCCTTAATTAAGATGACCGACAGGGCGGCTTTACCTTGACGCTGTCTTTGCTGTGTTCTTGTGTGTTCTGCTGTTTCCCTTCCACCCACTTTACATCACTCTTGCGCTGAAAATGGTTAACAGACGGGAGTCTCTCCCCATGTTCAGGTGGTGTTCCTCAAAGCCCACACGAGTCTTCAGAGAAGGACCCTCTGTATGCCCTAGGGCAGGTCACAGCATTATGGAGGCGTCATTTATAACCCACAGAACTTCCCCATTTTAGGTGTATAGTCAGTGAGTGTTAACGTTCCACCCAAGAAGTTCCCTCCAGCCCGTCTGCAGCCACTCCCCACTTCCAGGCACTCACTGATCTTTAGTTTTGCCTTTTCTGGAACTTTATATAGATGGAATCATCCATTGTGTGGTGTTATATGTTGGGCTACTCTCACTTAGCTGGTGGCTTTGAGGTTTGTCCATGTTGTGTCCATCAGGAGTTCGTTTCTTTTTATTTCTGGGTAGTATTCTGTTGTTTCTCTGTCCACCAACTGATGGACATTTGGGTTGTTGGCTATTTTTTGAATAGTAAGAGTAATTCTGCTATGTACATTTATGTATGTTTTTGTGCAGACATATATTTTCATTTCTCTTGGGTATATCCCTAGGAATGGAATTGCTGGGTCATGTGGTAACTCTGTGTTTAGCCTTTTAAGAAGCTGCCAGACTTTTCTACAGCACCTTGTATGTTCCCACCAGTAAGGGACGAGGGCTCTGTTGTCTTTTTTCTTTTAGCTATCCCAGTAGGTGCCTGCGCCGTCTCTTCCTCACTGATGAGTAAGGGCTTCTGCCGTGCTTTTTGGCCACCTGCAGGTCTTCTTTTTGATCTCTGTCTTTAACCCATTTCCAAGCAGAGGCCACTTAAATGTTGCATCTGCAGGGGCCCAGCTAGGCGGGGCCCCCACCAGTGCTGCTCCTCTAGTACTCCGAACAGCAGCCCAGGCAGTGGTCTGGTTGTGGTTTGCGGGACGGGTCATCTGGTCCTGAGCCTGCTTTGAAGGGAGCCTGGCCCCTGTCTCAGCAGCACGGTGGCCCTTGTGCCTGCAGGGGCTGGAGCAGCACAGGGGGCTGGAGGACCTCCCATATCTGCCAGCCTGGCGGTGAGGAGTCTTGTGCTTTAGAAGTTTGGGGTGGTTTCTGGGGGGTCAGATCCCATGGAGGTAAGTGCTGGAGCTCCGTGTGACCTCTCAGGTCTGCTCCAAATGGCAAAGTCCTTGGAGATCCTTGGCAAAAGGGGAAGCTCCTGGTAAGCAAAGTGGGGTGAGTGTGTGGCCCACAGGGTCCAAGCTGGCTGAGCCCTGTCTCCCTCACATGCCTACAGCCCTTGGCCCAGTTGGTGACGGGGTCACGGGCACCAAGAGGCCAGTCTGCCCATTGGTTGGTTCTCCCCACGTGTATGTAGCTCCTCTACCCACCCAGGGCTTGCGGTGGGCCTGACATTCTGGGTGGGGAGCAGACAGGTAGCCACTCCAGACGCTCTGAGAGAGGCGTTGGGGGGCCCAGGTGGGAGAACCTCCCCTCCCTCTAGGGGGTGCTAGGGTAGAGACCTGAGAGGTGGGCTCTGATGGAGGTGGGAGAGCCCACGACTTTGGCACCCTGTGGAGGAACTGGGGAGGACAATGGGCACAGAGGCCAATTTGGGCCCTGTGGGTTTGGGGGTAGAGGGAAGGGGTTGTGGTGACAAACCAGCACCACCCTGTCGGGTGATGTCTGCTACACAGAAGGTGGGTGCTGAGATCCCCAAGATAGATGAGAAAAAGAGGTGCGACCCTCCATCTGGATCCGTGTTCTTTCTAAAATTCCACCAGAAGGCTGATCTCTGAATAGCTAAAGCTTAAATTATTTTGAGTTTTTTGGTGTATTTTTTCTTGTGACATTTGGAAATTCCGCCACTCCAAGTGCAGTGACAAGCTGCTCTGAAGCTGTGACGTGGGAGCTGGGCAGGCGTTGGGCTCTGTCCTGCCAGGGTGTTGGGGGGCAGGGCGTCACCTCATCAGCCTGCCTCCTGGCTGGTGGTGCTCACCCACCCCGATTCCTTTCCAGTGGGGTGTTTCTGAGGCAGGATGACCTGGGCTGTTGTTGGTTTTGGGAGAATGGTGAAAGGGGGCTGCCCATTGCCTATATCTTCACTCTTGCCTCTCATGTGTACCTTCAGCCCTGGCCCCTGTGCCATCTGAGGAACTCCTATTGATCCTTCAAAACCCTGCTCCGGTAACCTTTCCTGTAATTTTCAACATGTGTGGGGTTTTTTTCACCCCCTCCTGAAAACACTGTCCTTATCTGGCTCCTTGTATGACTGGGAAGTGAGTCTTTGGATTTCCAGATATCTTTATTGACATTTTTCCATTTTGCTTTTTTGCAGGACTCTGTTTCACTGAGACCTTCAATCCGATTTCAAGGAAGTCAGGGGGTGAGTCTTTTTTTGGTCTTAATCATATTTAGAATTGTGGAGCTGGTGTGCTCCTTGCCCTGTTAGGGCTTGCTGGGCACAGCAGCCGGCTGGGAGCAGTGTTTTGGCCCCATCCACCTTTGTGCCAGGCTGGGCCCTATGCTGAGTCAAGGTCTGCCTCTGGTTGCCTCCAGGCTGGTCCTGTGGCTGGGGCCACACCAACAGACCATCTGTGGCCTGAAGGCAGCTCTCCTGTCCAGTGGCTCTTCAGTCTCTCCCACTTCCTTCCTGTAGCCGCCAAACCCCTGTTCTGACTTGATCTCTGTGCTGATTCAAAACTATGGACCCAGAGCCCAAGCAAGCCTGGAACTGTGCCCCCCCCAGGGTGGACACTTGTCTCTGTCAGTGGACCTGGGACCATGGGTGTTTGTCTGGCTTTTGGTGCTGGGCAGGGGGGTTATAGAAACTCAACATTCCCATTTTTTCGTGAAAGGTATTTGATTCTAAATAACCGTCTTACAGAAAAATTGGGGAATGGAAGAAAGGGTGGGTTGCCTATAATCCTTACTCCTCCAGGTCTTAGGACCCCCATATCGTCCACCTACCAAAGGTGCTTTAGAGCACTTTAGTTTTTCTTCTAGTCTTCATTGCAAGTCTTTTTTTTTTTAAATCG